TATCCCACTTTATACCTATTGTACGATGCCTTCTCATTCTGAAATGGTTCCGATATTTTCTCATGCCATTTTTCATTCTAACAGGCATATTTCGATGGCTCTTACTGCTTAAAGTGGTAGCAAGTCGAGATCACAAAAAGGGAGGTCCAATTTTAATGGTTGTTACTATATCTTGTTAACCGTATCAATTTAATCTTCTTTGTTACCCTTCCTAAACACCTTCAATGAATGTATCTTCAACGCAATATTGAATCTTACCTTGTTTAATTTTCAAATTTTCTTAGGCTCTTATCTAATTCACCTGATTAATTAAGATTTGAAAATTTTGAAGATACTAAAAAAAGGAGCAACAAGAATGTTTTTGATCTTTCATAGGTGATGTTTGAAAAAAATTATTGAGAACAATATTCCGGCTTATTTAAGTTATCGTGATCAATTGGGATTAAAATTTACAGCAAACATCGATTGGACTCCTATATATAAAAGCGTAAAAAATAAGTGTATTGTCACGAGCTTAAAAGTTCAGGGCATATCAGATGTTGACATGACACTTCCGCTACATGACTAGGGTCAGCGACGTGTTTTTTTTTTTACAAGGAAAACACTTGTCATTATTACATTGGACAATTAGAAAAAAAAGACCCACACAGGTGCTCAAACCGCCGGTCAGCTAATCGTGTGCAAGTAGCATTATTGTTGACATAATAGCCAAACCTCTGAAAACATTAAAAATGTATGACCATCTGACCAAACCATTCAATCTTAGAAGTTAAATTAAGCAAGACTATATCAAGCAGCAACGAAAACACAACCTCAAGTGTATATAAATTTATCATTTTAAAATTAGTCAAAATATTGTCCAAGTGCACTTTTCTAGTCAACTGATAGTCAAATGGACGAAATCGTCCACTGTCCTTCCGTTGCTACGGAATGAAAGGTTTGAAATTGTAGATGGTATAAATGAAAAGTTTGAGATCACATCTACAAGTTTCTCCAAGATTAATTTTTAGACTTTTCCTGTACATTATTTCTCGTAACCTTTTCAATAACGTGATAAATAACAAGTAACATAGATATTGTGGTGCGCCAATCCTCCGTTTTTCCTGTTTTGCCATGGCAGAAGGTTCCAATTTTATTTTATTCTTTTCCGAGAGTGATCTTCTAGCTAGAGTAGTAAGAGAGTAAATTTCCTAGAAATTTTATCTGAAAATCCCACAAAGACGTAATAAATTTGATTACGGCTTTTATCTGTAGTGTACGTAAATATATGAGTGTAAATTAAGGTGTTATTTATGTTATTTTATACATGAACATTTCAATAAATAAGAAAAAGTGATTATATTACTACCGCAATAAGTGTTTGGTACATTTCAATTTTCCTATTTATTTAAATAAGCGCAAGTAAGATGACATAAATATCCTATATAGTATTTACCGATATATTTATTCACTCTATCACCTTCATCCGTACACAACGAAAGATAATATAAGTCGAAACAAAAGAACAGTATGATTGAGCATTATACAGTCGCGACCCTTTGTGATTTCTTAGATTTTATTGGAATTTGAAAGGGGAAAATGGATGCAATTCTGAATCTTGAAGCACTGCCTTTGGGAACTGCAATTATAGTTGTTGTTCTTGTCTTCCTCACTTTGTGGTTCATAAGAGAAGATCTTCGGGCCTCCCTTCTCCACTAGATGCTTACGTTAACTCAATTTGTTATCATTTTCTCTTGATCGAATTGTTGAAAAATAGTATTGCATTATGCTCCTTGAATTTGATTATTTGAATGGTTATGATTTGGAAAATGTTTGATCTTGAACCAAGATTTTGGGTCACCTCCACAGCTCACGTTTAAAAAATAAAAATCTGAAATTCACCCAATCTTATATAACAAACCCTTCCCATAATCCTTCCTTAATCCTTAAAAGAATCAGCGGGCTGCCGCATAATGTTTGGCCGCCCATTTCCACCTCTACAGTAACACCACTATCGAATATGCTTTTGATTTAGTGTGTGGATTAATTTAATGTAATGTAATTATTAAAAATTTTTGAAATGGGCGGCTGGTCTAAATAATTTATAATTGTGCCTCTAGTCTCCCACTTACTAAACATGTGTTGGATATTGTCGTTAACAAAAATGCTAAATATACATATCTTGGTCTACATTCACTTCACATCCCTCTCACATAAGTGGTGGGACCCGCGATTTTAATTATGCATTTCAATTATGCTTTAGAATCTTAATTATGTATTTTCTTTATTTTAAATTAACACTTATTTATTTTACAGTGAAAATAGTTATGAAAAGATTTTATAAAAAGAAAATCTCTTGTAAATAGTAGATTGTGTAATCGGATTGGAAATGGATGGATGAATGAATGATAACCTTGTTGTTTATATGAAGAAATATATATTTTTAAAGATTATTAATAAAATGATTATACAAATATATTAAAGTATGAAAACTCGTAAAGAACGGTGGTAAGGTATTTCATTTTTAGTATAATGTTTGTGTATTAACGTTGTTATTTTTTTATGCCTTTGCTAGTATCACTCGCACTAGAAATCGTTTTTGGGTTTGCCCCTGTCTTGAACGTTGAATGTTTGATTATATGACTAAGTGATAATCAGGTTTAGAGATCATTGTCTACAATTTCTATAGGACCGTGCTAGAAAAACAGGGCAAAAAAATAGGGAATTGGATACGTATACACTTGGCATCAAAACATTGGGGGATGGAAAAATTTAAAAGAAAAACCAGCAAGTCAGGTGGCGCCACATGTATCTGTTTTGTATCCTTGTCTGAATTCCCTGTTTGAGTGGCTTTATCCATTTCTGTATACCTTAATAATCCGAAAATTTCCTATGTTTTATAAATATAAATGAGAAATTTTGTATTGAATACAAAGGTACCTTCCATTGAGCCCGTGGGTGGGGGAAGTTGGTGAGGAAGAATAAGAGGGAGAAAGATGAGGGAAATGGGGAGTAATTTTGCGATGTGGAATACACCACATTATTGTGATTTTTTTTTTTTTAAAGTTTTAGGATTATAATTGAAAATTTATTGTGGTTTTCTTTAGTGAAAATATTTTTTAATTGTAGCGTGTTTAAAATGTAGTGCAGCAAGTAAAATTTGTGGTGACAATATAATTGCCTTAAAAAAATTCATTTAAAAATATTATGTAAATAATTAAATTTGTAGTGTGAATATAATCACCCAACGTCAAAAGCAAAATCTCCCGCTTCCAAAATCTACTACAAAAATCTACGAAGTTACGAATTGTCAAACAATTAGAAATTCTACAATCAATCACAAACATGACCTTAGACTGATTAAAAAGAAGGAAGTTTCACAGCTTCTTTAGCGGAGACAAATCTCATTCTAGCCGCCAAAAGAAAGTAGACTAGTTTTAACACTTTTCCAATTTTAAGTAAATTAAGAATTCTGCACGTAAAGAAACCTATGTGAAAGATATAATAGTCAGTAAAGTTGGGCACTTCATTTCATTGGTACGTGTACTCCACAATTGAGTGAATAGCCATCTTTTCTATAAAAGTGGAAACTTACGCATAGAGAATACCTTCAAGAACTGCACTACACGTACAGAAAAAACGGAGTTACAGAAACGCACCAGAATAGACACAACCGAGGGGTGGGTGGTTTATTTTTTTTCAATATTTTACTCACATGGGGCCCATCCATGTGAGTTTTCTATTTGAATTCTGTTGGCAGAATTCTGTACAAATGGAAAAACCCTACGTTCAATAGAATTACGTTAAATCTAATTTAGCACGAAATACAACCATGTAAGAAACTCCTATGAATCTACCTTGAACAGTTCTCTGGTGATGTCCATTTGTACTTTTCAACAAATATTGCTCCTTGTCTTGATGAGGAAAATTAAAATTAGGGAGTTTGATTTGGTATGCATTTGACAAGCGTGTAGGCAAGTTACATGGGATGATCAAAGGTCCAAAGTCATTAGTTCGATAAATTCCAAAATCAGGTACGCATATTTACAAAATATTCAGGTACCCAAGCCCATCCCCTTAGACATTCAAACAAAAACTCTTATGTGTTCCTTTTTGAATACGTCTGAACGGATGCATGCGATTAGTATTGCATTTGAATCTCTAACTTACCAAATAGAGTATTTGGTTGCTCAGCCTTTTGATGTTGTAGTGTTTAGAATCTTAATAGATGGAAACTGTCAATTTGACGATTGACGGCCGTTTGACAAGACTTGCTTCCAAAACTACAAAGTTGCTTTTGAATATATTTAAATAATTTTCTAAAAGAGTTTTTAGAAGAAGTTTCCTAGCATATCTTCCTGAAAAAAAACTTTTCTAAACATATCCTAAGTTATTATATACAAAAAGACTATAATACCATTACCTCGAATAATTAGAAAATGAAAATAAGTGTATCTTAGTCATTTCAACACAAGTTTGGGAGGGACTATTAAGGACCCAACACTATAATGTTGAAAGGATGGGGATCCGGATGCTCTATTTGGTAGGTTGAGGACTCAAATGCAACACTTAAACATAGGTTGAGGACTGAGTGAAATGTTACCCTTTATAAATGTGTGTTTGTGTGTGTACGTACGTAAATAGAGACAGAGAGGTCATGTACTGGTATACGCAAGGCGGCCCTTCAAATTTCCTCATTGGTTGTGAAGGAAAATTAATTACGCATGAAAAAACATGCTTTATATTAACACCATACATAAATGAAAATCTACAACCGCAAATCTAACAATTGTGTTCTCACTAACTTGTTCGATAGCGAATACTATACAACACGAGGGACAAAATTTAAACTGTTATTATCTATTATATTGTCTAGTCTTGTTCAATAACTAATACCAAACAAGTACTCAATTTGCAAAATGGTGTGCTTTGTGTCTGGTGGAAAGTGTCGATGAAGAAGATTAAGCAAGTGAATCATCCATCAAAGGATCAATAATGTCCTCAATGGTTGTTCCTGTTAACTCTTTTGCTCTCTGGGCCTGATGTTCCCAATCGGTTCGCGCCAAAACAAACAACATGTTAACTGCACACGAGCCCTGTGCAGCCAAAAGTCCAAGCCAAAGTCCCTTGAAATCATACCCCAAATAGAACCCTAACCACACTGCAATTGGCATTCCAACTAAATAAAAGCACCCCAAGTTGATATTGGCCCCCATTTGTGGCCTAGCAGTTCCCCTTAGAACCCCACAACCAGTTGTTTGTGGGCAATTTCCAAGCTCACATAAGCCTATTATGGGCAACACCGTCGATGTTAAAGCGATGATTTCCGCATCTCGTGTGAACATTTTAGCCCATGTGTTCCTCACCAAAATGGCGAAAAACAGTGCTGAAACTCCGAGTACAAAACTCGTCATCAGTCCAAGAATTGCTGAGAGTTTCGCGGTATTAGGCCTGTTGGCACCTAGTTCATTTCCAACTCTCGTTGATATTCCGAAGCTTAAAGAAGATGGGAAAATGTAGATTAAAGCTGTGGTTTGAATCAAAATCCCCATTGATGCTACCGTTGCTCGAGGGTTCAATAATAATCCACATAACAAGATCATGATTTCGTACCACCACCACTCTAAGCATACGCTAATGCAACTTGGAATTGCTAGGCTTACGAGAGATTTCCAGCCCTTGAAGCTCTCTGATGATATGCCACCCCAAGTTTTCTCGTAGGTCCCTGATGTTAAAACGTAGGCCATCAATGATCCTACTAGGATGAAATTCGTCCAAACTCCGGCTAGGGCGACGCCTTTGATCCCGAGATTGAGGAATGTAACAAGAAGGTAACTTATAGGAATGTGGAGAAGAATGGCTAAAGCTGCACAGTATGTCAAAGGAAATGTTATGGATTGAGTCCTAAGATATATTCTTAAAGGGTGAAGAAACGATTGTGCAAGAAGATCAGGAATAGAATAAAGAATATAGGATTGTGCTTGTGTTGAAATATCATGATCTTGACCACAAAAAAGTAAAATTTTCTTCATGTTGAACCATAAAAACCCAATGGGAATTGATGATAATAAAAGTAAAAGTACTGTTTTTTGTAAGGTAAGGCCAATAAGTTTGAATTTTCCTGCTCCAAAAGCCTGTCCACAAATTGGTTCCATTCCCATGGCAAGACCAGAGAGGATGGAATAACCGGTGATGTTGGCGAATCCTACGGCCAGCGCCCCTCCGGCTAATGAGAGCTCGCCAAGACGGCCGAGGAAGAGCATGGATATCATAGACCGAGAATACAGTAACAATCCTGTGAACACCATGGGAAGAGAAATATTGGCTATGCATTTGGCTTCTTCAATTGCTATGGAGATATTAGTTTTCTTGCCCGTTTCTTGGGTACATGTTTGTTTTCTGGAAACCAAAGGATTCAACATGTTTTAATGCTATTCTTTGAATTTGATTGAAGCTTGCTCTGTAGGTAGATTTACAGGAACATGGAGAAGAAACCAACAGTGTGTATTGGGCTTGGGGGAATTTTTAAACAGAGAGAAGGGCGTGGGGATGGTTATGTGTGTTTACGGCTGTTTTGGGAGGTTTTATAAGTATTGGGTTTTGGAAAATACGGTTTTTTTCCGAGTAAATTTAAGGAAACATGAACCTAGAAAAGTTCAGATTTCAATTTTATCGGTTACGGTTGCACGCTAAGATTCTAAATTCATGTGACAAATTTAGGCTCAACTCCGGTTAAAATAAATTTTTTTATTTCTGATACTCATTTTAAACCATATATTCATACAATAAAATATTCTACACGTAAATAAAAAAAATCTACTTTTTAACCATATAATCTCCAAAAAAATCACCACTCAGAACATTATTTTTTCTCAATTTCACTTTATAATGGTTGTCAAATAGGTGTTTTAAGGAAATATGATTTGTAATCTTGGCTCTTTTTTGTTTCCTATAAAAAACAAAATTTTAGAAAATTTTGAAAAAAAAAAATGGTGAAATGTGTAATTGAAAAATTAAGTCCTATAAATGTGTGATAAAAATTAATTATTACTTTGATTTAAATTTTAATTAATATTTCTAGAAAAACTAAATATGGTCTTGGTCTTGAATGAAACTTTTTTGTCCAATTTAATGTTAAAAAGTCACGCGAGTTTCACGCGATTCATGGTTTGACGGGACGATAGAAATGAAACTCGATTTGAATGAAGAATAGAAATGAAAAGGATAGAGAAGAAATAGACAAAGAAGAAAAGAAACAATGGCAATCCTCTTTCCTTAGCCGACCCCATCCATACCCCTGACACCAAATAGATGTAATCTGTTTATTGGGGGTTCAAGTAAACACGAGAAAATTGAATTTGTTTTGGAAAACGTGCAGCAAAAATTATTGAATTAACTATTTTATTAAGAGAATTCGTAGTTGAAAATGAGTTTACAAAAAAAAAAAAAAAATTTTTTAAAAGTCTGCACCAAACTAAGCCATGTTTGATGGTCATTATTTTGTAAAAATAATTTTTGAATAGGAAATTTTATGAGACGATGTGGTTAAAAAGTATGAAAATTTTTTTAGTTTAAGTATAAAATATTTTATTTTATGAATGTATGATTGAAAATAAATATATATAAAAAAATATTTTTCAAATAATGGCCATCAAACAGGATCTAAGGCTCAATTTCATAAGTTCTCCGCTAACTTTTCCAAGTGCCCATTTTGATTTCGTCTAGTCATTAATAAAGCTCAATCGTCATGGTAGAAAAGAAAAAACGGAGCTAAGCAAGTGAGTGATTTACTGACCGCAAAGGGCGAACGATACAACAAGTGCCCATTTTGATTTCGTCTAGTCATTAATAAAGCTCAATCGTCATGGTAGAAAAGAAAAAACGGAGCTAAGCAAGTGAGTGGTTTACTTACCGCAAAGGGTGAACGATACAACAAGTGCCCATTTTGATTTCGTTTAGTCATTAATAATTTGATTCATCAATATCGATAATAGATTTTATTCTATCCAACTATGATTAAAATGGTGAGTCATTTTGAAGTCATGGACGGCCATTAGACGAAATAGAATTGTGAATGATTTGACTGATGCATGCACCCCGATGGATTCTAACTGTAATTTTCCTTTTTCTTGATTTAAATTCTTTTCTAAGTGTCCTGTTTATGACCGACAAAGAGTTAAGACAAATGACAGCAGTTATGGCGTCTGCATTCTCAATTAATTCATTTATTGTGTTATTAAAAGATTAATAACGTTTTAATTTTGGTCAAAGAATAAGAATTGACGTTCTGTCAACAAAAGATTTTGTTCTCAACTGTTTCGAGTTTGTCGACATTAATATGCCATTTATATTAACTTCTTATTGACATTAATCTTGAGTCAAACAAAAACTATAATAACTTGGCTCAATCGTTCATTTTTGCTGTCAAAACATCAACTATCGATGTCGAGTACATACGAAAACCTATTAGATTTAGATGTTTATATTGCTATTATTTTTCAAATTCTTGATTGTGCTCACTCTGATTCTTATTGAGTTCAAATCAATGCCTTTTAAAATAACATCCTTTTATTCTTGATTTTTCATTTTTTTTTCCTTTTTGTTTTATTTAAATGAGAGGGTATATTGGTCATTTTATGTTAAAAAGTGGTGAAAATAATGTTTTGCACAAAAAAGGGTAATTGGCGCAAAACGTCCTTACCTTTGCCTGTCTATGTGGAAAACGTCCTTATCTTTCGTTTTTTAGTGCAGAACGTCCCTACCTTTCACATTCTTTGCGCTGAATGTCCTTTTCACCAATTTTTAACCTNTTAGAAATTATATGACACATTGTCTACATATTGTGTACTGTATTATTTGACTATTTATTTTGTCCATAAATTGCATTTTAGAGTGGACATTAATGATCTTCTACTCATCGTGGATAAAAATTATCTTACTAACAGTTGACGTGGACTACAATTTTTGACAATTAAATTTTAAATTGTCAAAATTGTATGCTTAACCGTTGATGTGACTTGCCACGTCAAGTGTGTATGTTTTATCCTACGTAGAAATCACTCCTAGTAGGGTGGATACAATTAGTGGAGATTGCTTTTTATGAGGAAAAAGCGGGACAGACAGACTCAACGATAGGCTGAATTTTCAGGAACTGATTTGGCAGTTTTTTTTTTTTTTTTTTTGAATTTCTTTTAACTGCCAATCAAAAACTATCAAGTGTACGTGTTAAAATTTCCGTCATTCACCACATTTGTGTATTATATCTCTTTTTACAATTTAGGTAATGAACAAATGTCTCATGTCAGACGTGTTCCTTTTTCAAAGTACTATTATCTCGCTAAAGTTCTATGAAAATATTGATTTATTGCCAATAGACACAACTTCTATGGTGACAAATGGGTGCACCTATAGGGTTTATTTTGTTTACCTTCATAATTTGTCCTTTCCAAGTACAAAATCAACTTCTATGGTGACAAATGGGTGCACCATAGTCCTTCATAATTTGTCCTTTCAAAGTACAAAATTTCCCTTCGGTTTGTCACTTTATGGAAGTATGTAATAATATGAAATTATGATTATCTATTAGAATATTTAAGAGAAAATATGTAAATACATACACTTGTCTGGTCAGGGGCGGACCCAATTCATGCTCAGTGCAAGCAGATGCCTTCACTGAGCTTTGGGCCACCCAATCTACTTAAGCTAAAAAAAAAACCAAAAAAAAGAAGTCTTAGAGGCTTATTGTATTAAACTGAAGAGTGGGTGCAGACAATTCTTGCAGCCAGCTAAATTTTATGTATGTAATCTAAAGACCAAGGGCCCCTAAGCTTCTTCTGCTATGTTAAGTGATCTTTTTTTTTAGGTCCTCTCACCTACAACCTACCACACACCCAGTTGAATTTGAACTCAACCCTTCTAGTTAATACAAAATCTCGACACTGATTCTCTATTGGTAGTGCCTCTTGGAGGCATTCACACATACTTTTTCAACTCTTTAACCGGAGAAATGAAGAAAATTAGGTAACCTCACAACTTCAGTAAAGAGATGTTATTTTTAAATATTTACTAATATCATCCGCATTGAAAAAAATTTCTTGGTTCGCACCTCTGTCAGGCCCTAGAGGAACTCTAATTAATTCACCATATCAAACTAGACTTTTCACACTGTAGAACATGACTAAAACTTGACATTCGTTGTCTAATGATCATCATACTGTTTTGTAAGAAATATGTGAAGGCTGACCTTTTGACATTTCCGATCACAACTATAAATTAGCCATCGTGGAAATAATACTACGATGGCTATCGAATAGTGGTTGAGAAAATTGAATGAAATGATGACATTTTTATTTATATATATATATATGACGGCCAATGAGCGAGCCATAGTGAAAATAGACACGACTATTATCCTTTAGCCATTATAAAAATCTAGAAATGAAAATGTTTGATTTATGTAATATATGACTTTAAGCAATCGAGCAATTGTTGAATTATCTCAATGGATATTTATTTAATTATTATATTCGACTATTTTCTTGTCGTATTGACTTATTTTTTACACTTCCAATATTCATTTGCAAATGAAACCACCGTGTAACAGGTATTTAAATTAATGAACTCAAGTCAATCTTTTCATTGATCAGAACAAGAATATATATACAACAAGAGAGTAACAAACTCCTAAACACCATAGTTGTTGAAACTACAGCTCCTAAATATCAGTTGCTGAAACTAACTCCTAAATATGCTATGTATAACACTTTTGAATAACACAAAGATAATGATAATGAATCAAAAATAAGTTGTTAAAACTAAGTAGATGATTTAATCTTCTATTATGCCCCCCTCAAGAATGACCTCGGGAGAGAAGTTCAATCTTGAAATTGAGTTGCAGAAATCGTTGGCGAGGAAGAGGCTTTGTGAGTACATCAGCTATTTGATCTTCTGATGAAATATGATCAACACGAAGAGCACCATTTTGAACCTCGTCTCTAATAAAATGAAAATCTATGGACAATGGCAATATGCTTCATTCTTGAATGAAAAACTGGATTTGAACGTAATTGATTAGCTCTAATGTTATCACAATGTATTATTGGAAAACATGTAAGTTAGATACTAAGATCTGAGGGGAGATAGCAAATCCACTTGATTTCATCAGTACTATTAGTAATCAATCGATACTCAATGACCATTGATTTTCCGCAAGTGAACGGGATCATGAACAAGTAATAAAGTAATGAATAGAGTGTCGAACCTATGAGAACTACGTGCTTGATCGAGTTAAAATTAATTACAACTTTAATCGAATAGCAAATAGATTTTGTGATTTTTTTCTATACTAATACCTAAGTTATCAATTAAATTAATGAAAGTAAGTAAATATATTTTTCAAATATGTGAGATNATGAAAGTAAGT